GTTACAGAAAACAGTGAAGGAAACAAGCTGTTACACCGCCAGATGGAAACAACGGCCATTAGCATTTTGATGCGTATTATTCTGATCTCCTTTTCTGTGTACATATACACTTTGGGTTCCATTCTTTATCATGCTTAAATTTTTAATTCAATTTATTTTGTGTGTATATGTACTTTTATGAGTTTATATGCACCAGATGTATGCAGGAGCCTGCAGAGGCCAAAGAGGGCATTAGATCCCTTCAACTGGAGTTAAACCCACCACATGGTGCTGAGAACCAAACCTGGGTCCTCTTCAATAGTAATAAGTGCTCTTAACCACTGAATCATAAGTCCAAGTCCAAAATTTTGTTCATTTGTGTGTGTGTATGTGTCTATGTGTGTATCTGCCATCTGTCTGCCATGTATGTGGGTGCCTACAGAAGCCAAAAGAGGGAGGGAATCAGATGCTCTGTGCCGGGTTACAGGTAGTTGTAACCCTGCAGTGGTTACTAGGAACTGGATTCAGTTCTTCAGCCATAAGCAGTCAGTACCCTGAACCACTGAGCTGTCTGTTCAGCCCCTGTTTTAAAGATTAGTGTCCTTGTTCTGCCACTTGGACAAACCATTTAAAGTCTTGTGCACTGGATACCCCTTGGGTATTAAACTGGAGCTATAACCTCCACTTCCCTTGTTATAAGGGATAAATAAATTAATGGTTTTTGCAGTGTTGAGAACAATGCCCATGATTTACAAATGCTATCTAAGTATTGTTTAAAAAATGACCAAACAGCCTGGTGGTAGTGGTGCACGCCTTTAATCCTAGCACTTGGAAGGTAGAGGCCAGCCTGGTCTACAAGAGCAAGTTTCAGGACAGTCTCCAACGCTGCAGAGAAACCCTGTCTTGAAAAAAAAAATTTCTTTTTGAGCAAACAACCTGCTTTTAAACCTTAAAATGCTTAAAATGGGCCAGGCGGTAGTGGCACACACCTTTAATCCCAGCACTCGGGAGGCAGAGGCAGGTGGATCTCTGTGAGTTCGAGGCCAGCCTGGTCTACAAGAGCTAGTTCCAGGACAGGAACCAAAAGCTATGGAGAAACCCTGTCTCAAAAATCACAAACAAACAAACAAACAAACAAACAAAAAATACTTAAAATGTAGCAAATGTTTTGTCAAGTGATAGAGTAGTCTACACTGTAATTTATAGTGAGAGGTTAGTCCAGTGGCTGTGCCATGCATAATTTAAGCATTCCCTTTTATTCTTGGCTTCCGTTCTTCGCATTTGCTCACTATTATGAATAGATCTGTGATCAGCATCCTCCATGCGCATAAGTGTTTGGCCCAGGTGTCTACAAGAAAGAGTATTAAATGTAACATATATGGCCTGTACAGTTTGGAAGTGTGTAATGACACATCTTGTATTCTAGTGAACATTTCAAATAAAGTGTACATTTTCTGAGACATTTTAGATGTTTAGTTTCCCTAAAGTTCTTGTTTTAGAAGATCAGTTACCTCTTGCTGTTTCTAAGCACTGTGACTCTGGAATTTTATGATCTGTAATGGGAAATCTAACTTAGTTTTTTTTTTTTTTTTTTTTTTTTTTTTTTTAAACAAATCCATCCTAGCAGAGGGCTGAGAAATCTTTGTTCTCCCAATGATGCGACAATCCAGCTACCTCTGGTTAGCTTGAGCCTGTGGGCACTGGACATCTTTGCGTCTGCTGTGCAGGTTCTTTTGTTTGTGACCTAACACTTGATATCTGCTTCCAGCATCCACAGTTGTCTTGGATGGACTTCCAGCTGATTCTAGAATGTTGTCATTGAATTCTGAAGGAGAACCTGTTGGAGATTTGATTCACATTTTATTTAATTAATAGTCCCTATGGTAACAAGCTTTGAGTGGTCATCTTATAAAGCATATTTGATTTTTTTTAAATTTATATCAACTTGGGTTGGGTAGGTGGGGTGGGAAGGATTGCAGTAATTATGATTTCACATCTCTGTTTCCAGTCATGTTGATTCACTTTAGTATATTTGAGTATTGATTTTTCCCTAGTGTTATACTTTGTCATTATAAATTCTCTTTTTGTCTTTGCAACTTTCCTCCTTTTTGCCACTGTTTTTATTTGTGGTCTCAGGGCTCTTGCAAGCTTTTCTATTTTGTCTCTAGGCAACATCAGTCACCACGGTTGTAGACATTGCTCTTAGACTAAATGTTGGCATCTTTAAGTCATTCGAATAAGTCCGACCCTTTGCAAATAAAATACTTTGGTGTGGAAATCTGAAGGTACCATTTCTTTCCTTTGATTTAATAATCATAACAAAATCAGAAGGGTTATATTATTAGCCCTGCAGGCCATAAACATTTTCTTATTTCTTTGTAGCTTATTGTAATGATTATAGTTTGTATGTATGTGATTGGGTTTCAGAATTTGCACACGTGGGGGGGGGCTTACTGTGTAACTCAGGTTGGCCTCAAACTCAGAGACCCGCCTGCCTCTGCCTCTCTAGCGCTACCAGGCCTGGCTGATGATGGATTGTTGTTTACTTGTTTCCTGATACTTGCTTGAATCTTTGCAAGGATTTCAAATTTTATAAATTACTATAAAAATGCATTTCCTTGCATTTTCTTTTTTCTGTAAATTCTTCAATTTATCACTTAAGTAATCAAATAGGCATTTGCAGGCTTTAGGACTATGGTTTCTTCAGTGTTCTTGAAAGTAATTAACTGAAAAAAGTTTTCTTATTACTTAAGCTGACTCAGTGAGGTGAAAGGCTACTCTTTCTACTGTGCCTTAAACTCACATAAAGCCTTTGGGACGGGACGGTCTTGCTTTGACAGCTAATCCCTCTTCTTAGTAATTGACAGAACCTGCCCCACAACCAGCAGCCACAAGGGTCTCCATATTTTGTTACTGGTCCTGGCTTGTTGGTCCCATTCACTCAAATAATCCTGTTTTCTTTAGAGGTTGTAAGGTAGACACCAATCTGTCTTATACAGGCTTTTTAATTCTTCATTGCTCACCGATCATGATACAATTGTTAGATTCAAATAGGAATTGTAATATATACATTACAATATAATATATACATGTGTATGTGTTTTTACTGGTTTTAGCCAGCTGCTCATCTGAGCCCATCAGTTACTGCTGGCAGCCAGTCCTCGCTAGCAGTGCGCTCAGCTTCATGTTGGAGTAAAACCTTTTCTTCATCTTTTTGGCTAAGTCATCACTTTCCCCCTTGGAGCTACAGCCTAGCTCTGCGACTCCTTCTGCAGAAGTGGTTTCTCTAGCTTCCATGCTCCGGGGTCTGGAGTGATCCGATGTGATGTCTTCTCTCTCTGCTCCCTTTCCCCGTGTACATTTTCTGCTTTTGCTACCTTTTTGTCTCTTGAATTTGGGAGTCCTTTCTCTTTACTAAGTTCTTCCATTTCTCCTCCGTGTTGAGCCAGGTCTTAAAGTCTCCCATCAAATAGCCTTTGGAACATGCATTTATTTATAGAGTGTGTGTGTGTGTGTGTGTGTGTGTGTGTGTGTGTGTGTGTGCTTGTGTGTTCAGTATGCTTTCCATGGATGTTCAGGGTCAGCAGAGCCCTCTTCTTCCCCACGTGGGTTCTGAACTCAGGTTGCTTAGCGGGAAGCACCTTTGCCTGCTGAGCTATTTCTCTGTCCCTCTTGAAATTTAGTTAGATGTTCTTTGAAACCCAAACATCTAGGAATTTCAGGCTATTGTTTTATGTATCTGTTTGTATGCTAGTTTAGAGACAGGCTCTTGCTAATGTAGTCCAGACTCGTCTTGAATTTCCTCTCCCTACCTCTACCTCAACACTGATTACGAGCCTCCTTGCCCACATTAAATCCTGACCTCTTGAGGAACTGGGAAGTTCTGTTTCGTTTTGTTTTACGGCGTTGTAACTCAGACCTCATCGTGCCTGACCATCTCTCTGCTACTGTGATGAACCCGCGGCTCTGGAAGCTGTATTCCTATCCCATTAACCTGAGTGCCTTTTCAGAACCCCTCTGATCTTACGGTGCACTCTGAGTCCCGGTACCTTCAGTAATGACAGCCTGTGTCTCTTGAGTACTACTTCAGAAAATAAAGACAAATGTAAAACAGTAAGGTGGCCCTACTTGGCTTATTTTTTTTAAGGTAACAACTACTTCTTGCTGTTGAGAATTGACTAGCTTTCTTGTGTGGCTGGCCAGTTCATTCTAAAGGAAGAATGTAGTGTATTTTGAGCAACGTTGTGACACTTACATAGTTTGTATTGCTGTAACCATGTTTTCATAGAAATCTCCTTTTAATCTTAAGCATGTAGTTTGCTTATAGGAGACAGGGTCTCATGTTGCACAGGCTGGCCAGGAACTCCTGAGCTCAAGCAGTGCTCACACTTCAGCCTGTGGGGCAGCCAGGTCTGCATCACCTTGCCCAGCTTGTTTTTATCATTCTACCCCTGCCCCAACACACACGCACGCACACGCACGCACACGCACGCACACGCACGCACACACACGTGTGCGGATAGAGAACTAGAACTAGGCACTAAGTCCCCAGTCCCAAGAATTAGTATTTTTAACACAAGTTGTTGATTCTGCGGTGTTCAGGCTCCAGCTTGAATTGAAGACACGTGCAGAAACTATGCAGAAACCGTTTTCTCCAGCAGAGCCCTCGTGAATTTCAAACTGAGGCTTTGTGAGCCAGAGTAACCTGAGCATATTAAATACCCAGAATGAGCCCGTAAACTCCCATTCCTCCACTGTCTAAGATCGACTCTAGAGTAACATTGTCACATCCAGTCAGGACCCTCGTTATAAGCAATACTGTGTCGTGATCCGACAGCATCGTTTTCTTGATTTGTAATATGTAAAATAACGGTGGAACCGGAAAAGGATGGCACCTTAAATTTGATGAGACTTAGTGACGATGGTGGCCAGCATGCACGGCTGCATGCCTGCCGGGTGGAGTTTCTGAGTGCTGTGCTGCTGTTTGATGTAGACCATAATCGGGGTCTTTCCTCTTCCAGGCACCGTTGGCTCCACTGCATGACCGATGACCCTCCAACGAAAATACCGCCGACGGCCCGTAAATTCATCTGGGCAAACCACAAGTTCAACGTGACTGGCACTCCAGAGCAATATGTTCCTTACTCCACCACGAGAAAGAAGATCCAAGAATGGGTCCCACCTTCGACACCGTACAAGTGACTGCAGTGAAGATGAGTTCCGGTGTGTACGGGATGGTACAGGGTTGTTCTTGGATTCACAGTTGTTCAGCTGACCATGAACTTGATTAAAGCTGCCTGACCAAGCAATGTCTGGGGTGTCTTTGCCATTTTTCATCCATCACCTGCAAAACATGCTGACACGTGACAGAGAGTAATTGGTATAGATGTTCCTGCGGGGGCTCTCTGGGGTAGAGCTCCCAGTTCTGGGAAGTAGCCCCTAGTAGTGATCTTGTGTGTGGCCTCCCTGACTGCCATAGCTGGTGGTAAGGGCAGGCCTAGTTCCAGCCTTAGCCGGATAGACAGTGGGGACGTTGGGTGGCAGCATGGCTCCGTGCTTCTAGTGTGTCTCTCGCTGGAGAAGGTTATTTGAGAGGTCCTATTTCCTGGGGTCTGGTCCTTTAAGAGTTTGATGTAGTCTGTGTATTCTCCATGTTTCAGTCTGATCCTTTCTTTAAGATGAGACTCATGTAGCCCGGGCTAGCCTCAGACTTACTATGCTAAAACCAAGAGTGACTTGGAACTCCTGATCTTCCTGGGATTAAAGGCATGCCCAATCACACCTGGCTTTTGGGTGACTTTTTAAAATCCAGAGATCCAGGCAACCAAGCCAGTATCTCGGAGAGGGAAATCCAAGCTGGTACATCTTGACTATCCATCCTGTAGGTCCATTTGAAGCCAGGGAACTTCTGAGCCAAAGACATCAGCACTAGAACCAGTCCTAAATCTTCCTCATTTGCTAGAACCAACTGTTTGCTGAGTCTTCTCCAAATATCCCTTAGTGATCCAGAGCAGGCTGAACCTGGAGCCCTCGAGAGACACACACTGTTCAGTAGGCTCTTTAGGGTAGCTTCCTGCAGTGTGTTGATTGATTGACAAAGCACGGGACCAAATGGTCAAAGGCGCCTGTGCTGGGCTGAGATTCCGCGTGCCATGCTCAGCTTCCGTCGGCGCCCCTGTCAGAGCATTGCATTTTATTGCTCCGGGAAATAGATGGGCAGGGGGAACTAGGCAGTTCTTAGTCCCTGACTCAAGGACCATGCTGTTGCAGTAGATATGTGTAGGCCTGTGTAGCCATTTTCTCAGTGACATACACTTGGAAAGAAATTAGCTCCAAATCCCAAGGATCCATGAATATGTGTTCCATGTTAACTCAAGCTTTGGGGTAATCGATATTATGACCCCACTGGTCAGAATGTAGGGGGGTTACATGGAGATCCTATCTTACTGTGAGCCCCAGAACCCTGACCTGTCCATGTGCATTCCCGTTTCATGGTTTATATCCTCTTGTCCCAAGCATAGATGGGGGAGACATCATTTGAAGGGTGCCCTGGGGACCAAGGGTTCCTGTGGTGCAGAGGTTGGGGTGAGCCGTTTCCCTAATGGTCCATGTGTTGAAATCCATTGTGAGATATGAAGAGGGTAGAAATTTAATCTGGCCATGATGTTTAGAGGTGGGATTTTTGGGGGGGTGACTAGGCTTAGCTAGGGACATCAGTGTAAAGCCCTGTGATCCAATCCTGGTGGCTTTATCAGACGGAAGGACATCTGAATACAGGCACACATGAGCTCCCCTCCTTTCCGCCCTGATGGGTTAGTGGCTTTGACTACACCCACTCTCTCTAATTCTGAGAACTTCACACTTTAACCCTCACGAGCTTCACTGCTGGACCCAGGACCTCCCCTCACCCCCCCAGTGAAATCAAGTCTGTGACTTAAATGGGAAATACAGAAAACAGACATATCGCTCATGAGACTTAAATTTAGGGAGTATAATACCTGGTGCGGCCAAGAGGCAGCCCGAGGAAGAGGAGAACGTGGAGGGAGATGCAACTTAGAGAAGGAACAAGAGGATTCCTTAGTCCAGTGACTGGGGCCTCGGCCTCGTGGGTGCACGAGGAAGCACACTTCATTTAGACTCTGCAGCCTGCGAGTGGGTTTGCCTTTCTGCCATTTATTTTCCTTTTGCCTCGAGATTGTCTTAGACGTCCCTCATTTACAACTGAATGTCCTTGCTGGTCTGACATCCCACAGCTGTCTCGGTTCTCCTCCATTAAGGAAATGTGATCTCGGCAGTTTCTATCCTTCCTAGATAATATCCCTGATTATGTATGCCTTTTCGCATTAAACCGTGTGTTATTGTGAGTCAGTAGTGTTTTTCAGAGTTTATTAATAAAAACCGATAAAGAACTCTGCCTTGGCGGCTGAGTTCAAGTTGAAGTAGATGCACGTGCTCCGTAAAGCCTCTGCCTGTGCGCTGGAAGATGCAGTCAGGGCTTCAGATGTCCTGTGTACGGTGGCTGTGACAGTAGTGACAATTGCCCGCTGCTCCACAGCTTGGGAGAGTTGCTTGCTTAGACACTGGGCTTCAAATTTTCCCATCGCAGTAAAATTGGAAAAAGAGAGAAAGAAATAGCCAGCCATTTGGCTGTCACCGGCTAAATCGTAGCGTCAGTTCCTCAATTTAGGGTGATTTATGTCATTCGTATAAAAGCGATAGACAGTGAATGGGGAGGACTGTGTCCTAACTTGAAATTTAAATATTGGGTTACCGTAGGAAACTATTGCCTCATGTAGAAAGGCTGTGATTAATACATTTATAATACTGAGAACTTCATCAAAGGAAGCGCCTATTAGTTTTGGCTTTAGCTAGGTGGGGAGAAACAAAAGAACTACCCGTGGAATAATTACTCAGCTGTGTAGGCACATCTCATGAGCACCAGTCAATAAAGCAAACTCCGAAGAGCCAAGAGGATGCCCACAGTGGTACAACTGGGCATCAGGATCAGGGGAAGAAGAGGGCTTGAAGGAGTCCTCCGTGGGTGAGACGCCTGCTAGGAAAGCATGAGTCTGAGTTTGGATTCCCCAGCACCATGTGAAGAGCCAGGTGTGGGGATACACGTGCGGACCCGCGTCATTGAGAAGAGGACTAAAGGATCCCAGAGGTTTGCTGGCCATCAGTCTAGTGCGTTGATTAAACTAAAGACTGTCTCAAAAAAAAAAAAAAAAGGGTAGAAAGGAATTGAGATCTTGGACTCCATATGCACACACAGCAGGTGTGCATAGCTGTGCACACAGAGAGAGAACCTGGGAAATGTCTATTACGTTTGAGGAAGGGGGGGCTTATTTTGGTTCATGGTACAGTCCACCACTGTGGGGGAGACACTGCAGTGTGAAGAACCTGGCCGTGTTGCCTGCAGTCAGGCAGCAAAATGAAATGAATGCTGGCCCACACTCTATTCGTTCAGCTCCCGACCCCAGCCCTGGGGATGGCTTTACTCACATTTAGAATGGGTTCTCTCTCCTAAGCCAAACCTCGCTGGAAATATCCAAAGGTTTATCTTCTATGTCAATAGTTCTCAACCTGTGGGTTCCAGCCATCAAAAAAAACATATATTTCCCATGGTCTTAGAAACCGAAACACCACTTGGTAGCAAATTTACGGTTATGAGGTAGCAATGAGAATAAATTTATGGTTGGGAGTTCCTAAGACCATTGGAAATTCTATGTTTTCCGGTGGCCATGACCCACAGGTTGAGAACCGCTGTTGTCGGCAATCCTAAATCCCATCGAGTTGACAGTCAAGATTAACTACCAGAATACTCGCCGATGGAAAAGTACATGTCACATTGAAAACGTAATTTTACATTGGAAAAAATGAATGAAGCAGTCCGCTCTGTTTATCTCTGTAATCAACCGCAGAAAAGAAAACTCGGTGAAATCATGGGCTCTTGGGATTTGTGAGGTGGTGGAGGATTGAGGGTGCGGCTGACTGCCAAAAGGCAGGTTCAGGGAAAAGGTTCTGCAATTACCCACAATGGTTGCACAGCACTGAAAACACACCCGAACTGCTGAATCGCACACTTTAAAGTTAGTGGGTGCTATTTGACTTTTATCTGTTTCCCAAAATTATATGAAATTCAGTTTCTAATGGGTTGTTGACAGGAACTTTGGTTCAATGTAAAAAGGAAGCAACAATTACTCTACGAGCAGTGATGTGCCAAGGTTATTCAGCTTTTTGCTTTGTGTAGATTCAGCTGAGCCTTCTACAAATTCCTCTGGCTGAATGCAAGCTTGGCGTGGCTTGTGGGACACCGACTAAGAGAGGAGGGGGGAAGGAGAAGAGGATGGGACCCATGGAGTTCCGCATGTCATAAAAAACACTGAAAATTAGATAGTAATTAGAGGAAGGCGGGGTCTGCCCGAGTAAGAGTGGAGTAAGGAGAAGATAGGGCCCACGAAGTCCCATGTGTCATAAAAATCTCTGACAGCAAACAGAGAGGAGCGCTGGATCCCCCTGGGATATGCTGAGGTATAACTCAGAATCCATTGTTTGGGGAGGCTATCAGGAAGCCTTGACTCTAGAGGAACCTGCTCTAGTCTGCTGTGGTGGTGTCCTTTGCCTGTAATCCTAACACCGGGGAGACAGACGCGTGAAGATCACAAGTTCAAGGCTATGTGTTGAAGCTGTCTCAAAACAAAAGTCAGAACAGAAGCCCCTAACCCTAAAGGTTAAATCTGATCTGGTTTAAATATTCACCAACATATGTGAGAGAGTCCAGGTCAGTAGCTTCTTTTCTGAGTTCAAAGCTCAGTAACATGACCAAGAACTGTTTTCTCGGCCCTTCTCTTCTGCCTTCCTCGCCTACGTAAAATAGAGACAGGTTTTACAGGGATCGTAGGCAGGTAACCTCTTCCATCAGGAAAGGCTGGTGGGCATCGAGGAACAGGGTCCTTGTCTCCCTTTTAAGAACACAGAAACGTCTTCGGAAACCCAACAGACTCCCTCTCTTCCAGTCTCATTGACCAGAATTCTATCTCTTGACTATGTCTAAACCAATCACGGGGCAAGGATCGTGAGACAATACCTTTGCCTTGTTTACCCAGAATCATCCCTAGAGGCCAGAAAAGGAGTCATCTTTGTCCAAAGATATGAAGAGTAAGAAAAACTGATTGTGGTAGCAACAGCTGGAGGGGGCACTCTGGGCAGGTGACAGTGTCTGCCATGCAGAACCCTAGTCTGTCTGCCCAACCGGCTGTAGTGCTGCCGTGATTAATGTCTCCCAGCAGGTGGACGTGGCCTTGTCATCC